GTCAGTGTACATCACAAGCACATGCGCACTTTGGTCTGATTGGAACAGATGCGATTCAAGTGTTTACATGCCAGTTTATTGCGAAATCAACATACGCCATTTTACTGTGATTATGGTTACCACATTTATAAGCCTAATCGTGTCAATCGAAGTATTGTCGTGGAACTTTGATGGCATACGTCACATTTATGTGGCATTGGCGACATCTCGTTTTTTGGGTTTTTTTCTAAACGTCATGCACTGATACAAGCCAGCTAAATGTAACCACCTTTTTCACTTCAGCTACATTTTGGATGGAAGCAAAGACATAGTATCACCTATTCTGATTGGCCAGTTTAGATATTCAGTATTTTAATATATAATTTTGGTCACACTTTAGTTCCAATTTTCACTATTAACTACGACTTTTGCCTTAAACTCCAAATGACTACTTATTAATAGTTAGTAAGGTAGTTGTTAAGTTTAGGTATTAGGATTAAGGGATGTAGAATGGTCATGCAAAATAAGGCATTAATATGTGCTTTATAAATCCTAATAAACAGCAAATATTCTAGTAATATGCGTGCTAATAAGCAACTAGTTAATAGCGAGAATTGGACCATAAACTAAACTGCTACCATAATTTTAAATTGGTTTAAAAAAATTTTTTTTAAATAAAATTCATTGTGACATTCATTTTGAACACATATCGATGAGACACCGTCAGCTTTCTCATTAAATACCTAAGAAACTTGAAATGTGAAATGATTTGCTTGTGTTATCTTTAAAATAAAGTCCACTTTGTTCGATATTTGACAATCAGACAATGACATCCCGACCATTTTAAGTGTGGCATTATCAGGCTTCTATAATATAACCCATATTCTCAAAACTCAAAAGAAAGACTGCCAAGAGTTTCATATAATGTGCAAATTTATATCAGTGAGGGAATGTGAAGCCTTATAAATAAGCCTGGCAACCAAAGGCGATTTTCTCTCACAGTTATGAATAATCTACACCAGGGCTGTGGAATGATGTGTGTTTGAGGTAAGGTAATAAATTATTTTCATGACATGCTGTAAGTACTGATTCCCACCTTCCTCCCACATGGCAGTGCCAGGTACACCAGAACCCCTCCATCTCCATAGGTTTCCCAGAGCTGGGCTGTCAGCAGGGAATCTCAATAACAAGTACAGCAGACGCTCGGCTCAACAGACAGAGCCAGCAGGGAGATCCACTGCTTCTGCGGTTACTAGAAGATGAGGGGAGGGGAAGGGTTTGGTCCTCAAGAAAGGAAAAGTGTAAAGAGGAGATTAGGATCACATCAAAAAATGAGAGAAAAAGTAAAAAGGATCAAAGAAAGGCATCAATATTGAATGAATCCAAGGCAAACAGAGCATTTTTCATTTTATGATAAATCAATAATGCAGACATTGACTTTAGACACAGAGCTCGGTCAAATGAGAGGGAGAAAGAGTAATAAAATAATTGAGACAGGAGACAAAAGGTTTGAAGGGGCACTTTGTTGTATATCATATGCATAAATTATTTAAATGTATAAAATATGAGAATTGAATTTTAATATTCTGTCCCCTTATTGTTAATAGGCTAAATACACTTCTCGAGATTCTTTCTGGTGTGTGAAAAATGCTAATCAGTGTTTATATTGTGAGAATTATGTTAACTATGATAAACCCCAAATATAATGGCAAAAAGAATATAACCTGGAAAAACCCTATAGAAAAGATCTTGTACTTTCTACAGTACATTAATTCAGAAGAAAGCAGTGTTGTGTAACACATGTTGCATACTCAGATTACTTACAGAGTGACGACAGAGCAAGACGAGAGAGGACCAGGCCAGTCGTCCATGAGGGGCTGTCGCTTTACTTTAGTTTTGTGTTTGTTTATTTTATGATTAAAGTTTCATTGAATGTTTGCCGGTTCCCACCTCCTTCCCTGAGCCTTTAACTTTTCTACATAATGCATACTTTTAAATTTACAACAGAATATCAGTTACTTTTTCGAAAGAGTAAAGCAAGATACTTTGTTTTGCCATTTATTGAATGACACCTCTCCTTGTTGAGAGAAACTGTGAGTAAGTGAAGAGGCGTTGCGTGTGCTGTGTGAACATGATGGTTATTGCAGTTCTAGACTAAATGTGTGCATGCATTTACTCATCACTTTGCACTTTTACATTTGCCCAAAATAGAACTATTTTAAAGTAGAAAGCAGCCAAAAGCAGGCTTTTAAGAGACTGACAAGTAAACTGTTACACAAAATTAGACAAAGGCATAATGGGCATGCAATGTACCTTTTCATTCTCCACATTTGTCACAGCAGATCTTCATCCTAAAATGCAAATAAATATGAATCATGGTGTAGGTTGAGAAACATCACACAAAATTTAAAAAAGGGTCTGTTAAGATAATGACACTATAAGAAACTATGAGAAAGTGAGGTGATAAGATTTTAAGCCAAAGTCAGTTGGAACCCAAATATTAAACTGGGTGCCTCCAATATATATATATTTTTAAATAGACAAATTGCACGCTGTAAAAACCAATGAGAAGAATCATTAAATGGAAATCAGGTCAAATTAAATTAAAATGAAATTAGGCTTTATGTTTCTACAAAAAAAGCACTTAAACCAATAAAGATAATTGAGTGTGGGTTTAGCCGCAAATATGTAGAGACTAAAAACACAAAAACGAAGCTGTTTACAAGAGACTCAGGTGTCTCATCAAAGGTGTTAGAATTAGAAAAAGTGTGAAGAATTAGAGGCTTATCATTTCATTAGAGCAGTGTGTAAACTCAACTAATTACGTAGCTATGTATTAATGTATTAATTCTGTTTTTTTATTTAAAATAAAATGGTATTTAATTAATCATCTCCATCTCGTGGCCACAACATATTACCATGTTTCCACAAGTTCAGTTGTGGCCACAACAAAATGTGACCACCCTTCCAGGACACATTTCTTGCATTGTTCTCAGCCAAGATTTGATGCTTTCAACTTTGTACTGAACTTTTTTTACTTTTTGCTTCTCTGGGTTATTTGGTTAATTACACTACTGACTCCTACTGGTGATATATAATACCAGCCTCTACTCTTCACACACAAGCTGGGTAACTTCTATGTTTTACTTCCTCGCCTCCCAGGTTTTCCACAATGTCACATTATTAAATTATATCTCAAGCATTTTGTTTTGGGTTGAGGGTTGCATTTTGTGCGGGTCAATTTACTCTTTGACGCCTATTTTGTAAAAGAGGTGTAGTGGTGTATTAACTGCAATATACTGACCTCGTGTCACTTAACTGTAAGACTTTCCAAAGAAGCAGCTGTGATATTCCAAACATTCCATTGATCTTGTTTTTGTGCAGCACTTGCGCTCTGATGTTGCAATTACATAATGTTTTCTCCAGGGGGCGACGAGTCATTTCTAATGGATATGCAATCCGAGCCATGTACCTTCAAGCCTTTTGAGAAATTCTCATGAAAAACAAGAGATCAGGATACGAGTTCCCGGGAATGAAAACAATGGAGATAAAAGTCGATAAGGCAAGAATCCCCACCCTTTTAAATGTAATCCTAACAGGCAGAAGAACTTTCCAGGTGCATTTCTCTCATCCTAAATCTCAATCGGTCTCTTAATTCCTCTTTTGTTGTCACTCCAATGCATGTTAAACTGCTATTCGCTAATTAATGAAAGGTTGTAAATTACCATGTTATTTACAACTGCACTAGCCCAACACTAAACAAGCACACACTTGCCTGTAAACGGCTTTGCATTTAGAAAACCCAATATGGACCTTTGCCAAAATCCATGTGCTTGTATGCTATGATAATGTGTTATGTAATCCATCTGAGCATGTAAAGTATCCCCAGAGAACAGGTCAGAGGTCAAGGGGAACATGAATGGACTCTTTTCCTCTCTCAGAAGTCTGTGTTTCCACAACCATTACCCTGTAAAGGAAAAAGGAGGGAAGATGACATAATGGAGGCATGTATAACAATGCAGAAAGGAGGAAACGGGAGCAATTAAGACGTTGTCTTTGTGTGTATAAGAGGCAAACACCCAAGAAAGTTTCACTGAAGGTTTCCCACAATTTTTAAGATTTGGTTTCATGCTGACAGTGTTTTTATTCTGCACTATATTTCCCTGCATAGTGAAATGTAAAAGCTAATTTTTCCAGTTCTGAATATGTGAAGTTTCGCCATGCTGTTGCTACAGCTGCAGACAGGAAAAATGACTCCACTCAAACGGCTTGAGAACTGTTTGTGTGACATTTTTTTCCAGAATAAACTTAGAATGACTTCAACTGTAAGAAAAGGCTCTTACAAAATAAATACAGGCAAACATATACATACATTATTGTGCACATCTATGCACACATAGAAAACTTCTCCAAAATGTTGCTTAGCAAATCTTTACTCATGGGGAAAAACACACACCTTTGTTCTTCCTTTCTCTATCTTTTACTCCCCCTCTTTATTTCTCTGGCACAGATGAGCTCATTCTGCAAACATGACTCTTAATATACTATTTCTCTCTTCAATAAACAGAACTAGAGAGCCAGAGAGAGAGAGAGAGAGAGTTAGGGGGAGGTACTCCATGTGGAGAGAGTTGCTCATGTTCCACTGTACACACCCACATACTCGCACTTGACACATGCAAACACATAACTCCCTCACCAATGGGCCGGGCTAGATGCCATGGAAACCTAGCTACGCCCCCATAGGGTGTGGATGGCCTTTTTAAGCTGTGGGGAAGCCTCTACGCAGCTCTTTCAATCGCACCAGAGAGGGAGGGAGAGACAGAGAGAGAGAGAGAGAAAGAGAGAGACTAGAGTAAGAGTGTGGTTATCTTCAAAAAGGGGTGGGAACATTGAACCTGGAAGCTGAAAAGTTATTCCCAATCCTGTAAACAGAAATTAAAGCTTTAAGAACGTGGAGGCACTAAAATCAACTGGAAGGGGAACCCGGTACAGCAAGACCAGCTCGCTTAAAGGAAAAGGTAAAGAACGAGACAATTTTCCTGAGTGAAGTTATCAGTCGAGACCAAGAACAGCCTCAGAATGGGAGAAGATTCAGTGCAAGCAGAGCGGAGCAGCATGATCGGCACCCATGAGAACCAGGAGCTGGTGGTGCCAAGCCCCAGCCCTACTCAGTCTTCACCCACCCATAGCCTCTCCCAGCTGGGCACTGGCGCTATCTACGCCTCTAGCGGAGAACCTAGTAGCCCTGGGGCTCTGGCTGGGGGCACCACAGGCACTCTACCTGGAGATGGAGCTTCACCCACAGGCCAAGTGAATGCCATCACTGTCCTGACACTTCTAGATAAGCTGGTGAACATGCTGGACACAGTGCAAGAGAACCAGCACAAGATGGAGATGAGACAGGTCGAGATGGAAGGGGCAGTGAGGGGCATCCAGAATGATATGACCAAGCTCTCCAAGAGTCACACTTCCACCTCAAACACGGTCAGCAAACTCCTGGAGAAGAGCCGCAAGGTCAGCGTCCACATGAAAGAGGTCAAGGACAAGATGGATAAGCAGGCCGTCCAAGTGAAGAAATTGGAGGCCAACCACGCTACCCTGATCAAGAGGAACAACTTCAAAGTGCTCATCTTTCAGGTAAATGTACAGTGTGCGCGTGTGTGTGTGTGTGTGTGTGTGTGTGTTGGGGGCAGTTGGTGGTGGGGTATTTGATATGCTCAGGTGAGGACACTGAATGATTGCATTGTGTGAGGGTTCTTTGTTGCATGTCGGCGTTCACTGAACCAAGTTCAACTGTCTCCAACTCTGTTAACAATCAGCGATATTACGGTCTTACACAGCTGAGTAGAATCTAATGAATCTAAATGTCATTTGACTAAATTACCTCATAGTTGATTAACAGATCTTAGTTTATTAACACGTGCCTCCCTCAGGGTGGTACCATTTCTAAAGCAGGAGAAAAGGGTCATAGTTCAGAGTGTAAAAATGAAAGCAATGCGTGAGAGGGTGTGATGTCACTTAAGGTCAGTATGAGGTGGGGTGGAATAGATTGGCTAATGCTTTGGGGTCAAAAGCTTAGACGACACTACCGAAACTGTTAAGTGCTTCTGGGATGGTTAAACCTAGTCAAAACTATTTTATTTGTGGATGTTAGAACACCTGCAAGTGGAACTCCTTGTAAGTCCTTGCAAATTCTGTACTTGACTCATATTATGACCTATATTTCAGGGGGGGGATAGCAACTGGGGCTCCAAACTAAGAGAGAGCTAGAAAGCTCGAGAGAGAGAGGAGAGAGAGAGAGAGAGAGAGAGAGAGAGAGAGAGAGAGAGAGAGAGAGAGAGAGAGAGAGAGTCAATAGGGGAGCCTAGTTTTGAAGCTTAGCCAAAAGCTATTATTTAAAGCACAATAGCCTTGAATAGAAGGTGTGTCCAGAGATCAGCTACAGTGCAGCGTAATGTGTATCCTGTTGTCAGAAGACCCGTGCTGAAATGTGCTATGCTACACTGCCTAGCTGCTGTTTACTGCAAGACCTGCAATCAACCGAATGACTCAGTGATTCCAAAGTCAGAGAGTGCCGAGAGAGGCCTTCCATTTTCCCCTCTCTCTTCCCAACTGTGTGGTTACTGCAGAAGTGCATGATGTAAAGAATGAGAGGGAGCCTAGCGAAACACATTTTCAGAAAGTCAACATTCCATCTCTGTGCGGAGAGAGTGTTTAAAAAGATGGGATGGTAAATTGCCTTTGATGAAAGTGTGAAAACTATTACACTCTACTTTAAACAGTGAGAGCACTCTGTCTGAGAACAGTTTCTACAGTTGCCGTCACAGACAGAGTGCTGTTTGTTAAAGCTAGACAAAAATGTTGTGTGTGTTGCTATGCCAACTACGTTGTTTATTTGCAGGGAAATCTAATTGGAGAGTAAGACAGTTGAGATTTTCTTCTTTGTCTAAATTATTTCAGGCTCGCAACTTCATTTTCTAAGCATTTGCCAAGCAGTTCAGACATGTCTGGTCTAAGGGAATGTGTTTAATCCAGCCATGGGGTTCTTGTATACTCCTGATCTGTCTTGTATTATAGTTAGGATGGGTGGGACAGTGGAGGACATGGGAAGAAAGTGTGTGCTTTTACATTTCCATCAGACATGCTCGACAGACACAAACATTCCTTAACAGTCCTTGTCTTATTTAATGTTCCTTCATTAAACCCCCTTCCGCTGTCCCTTGGGGTAGCCTAAGTTTATTTCTGAGGAATGATAGGATCTGACCAGTAAACTATCCTCAGCCGAATAAACAGACACAACTTCAGCAGGAGAATCAAAGAAACTTTTCAAGTCACTTCTGCCAAATGTTTCACATTTATATACTACCAAACAAGCTTCACAAAAACTGAAAAAGACTTTTGGGTGAAGGCAGACATTTCTGTGGTTTCAACACAGAGTCAAGTCAACAGATTCTCAGTTTTATTTCTTCATCTCCATAACTACATTCAGGTGTTCACCACACCCTCTCTTGCCTGTGTTTTTCACTTTTATCTTCCCCTGCTGCTTTGGGATAAGGGGTGCTTGGCTCCCCCTTAGGCGGACTGCATGCGCAAGAGAGAACGCTGTTCTTGCATAAGAAGAAACTCTGGCTCAAATACTCGCATTCCAGAGGAGGAGCAAGTCTCTCCTACTCGCCCAATGATATAAATAGGCCAATAACAACAATCGATTAGAGCTCCATGAGACATGTATCAAGACATTGGTCACCACAGCCAATAAAGAGAAAGGTCAGAGCTTGTAAAGTCTGCTATAATCAAACATCATTCCATTTGCAATTTTTTAGCATGATGCAACTTTCAATGAACACATTTAATTAATTGTCCCTGTGTTTCTCAAAACTTAACATATGGGTTGTGTTATAGCTGCACAACATCTCATAACTATCAGTGCATAATGCTTCAATTTTATCATACTGAAAGCCAAATTTAGAGTAGGAAAGTGCAAGATGGAATATTTTTACAACTAGCCCTTCACTATCACCTAATAAGGCTATCTGTGCCTCTCCAGAAAGAGGAGAGAGAGGGGGAGGGGGAGAAAAGTGTCAGTGCAAGAAGGCCTGTAGGCAGAAAGAAAGGAGACAATAGTGTTTGTTTCCCATTGTCCATCAAAAAGGCATTATCTCTCTCCAAACTTAGCTTACTGTTACAGTTTCCAGTGGTGCACTGGGGCGATATGAAAATTAGACTAGATGAGAAAAGGGCTTCATTGCAGATAAAGATTTACAACATGCTTGCTCAGAGATATTTTGAATGTATGTGCAAATTACAAAAACTCACATCTCGTCTCTCACTATATGGCAACAAGCAAACTATATGGAACTGCATGTTAGAGCTACAAATTCACTAGAACAAAAAAACAGGTAGGCCACCTTAGCTAAGAACTTAGAACCAGCAATAAACTGCTAATTAACCAAGTCCTAATGCCTCGAGTAGGGCTGAGAGCAGTGGTAATGGCCGTGTTTTTTGTTTTTTTTGAGGACACAACAGAGTGACATTAACACTCCATTCCTCCGCAACAAAACATCAAAACGTTAGCAGATAAAAAGCATTATCTATTTTCCAAATATGGAATGTGTGACTGTTGCGGTCACCAATCACTGTTGCAGAATGTACTGTAATTCTGACCTTACTGAGCCGGAGGTAAACAGAGTCATTCACAGACTTTAACGGACAGTGCATTTGTTAAGCTAAATTGTTCCTTTGAAAGGATAGAAATAAGGGCTGTAAATATATCAATTCATTGTGATATTGTTGAAAATAATTAAACAACCAAAATAATTCAATTGAATCCTATCGGAATGTAACAGAATTTAAGAACAGCCAAGCAAATATTTACTCCCTTAATGGAAACGTGGCCTCAGGGTCCATTTCACTGTACAGGTTTAAATACTGAATGAGCATGTGAAATGAGTTACATGAAAGGGACTGAACATGTTTTTGCACATGAGACTAGCAACAACTATTAGGGGTGGGTTATCAATACAGGCTTCTAATTCTAAATTCTAAAACTAATTCATTAAAAGACGGCTTATAAGAATCAGTTGTTTCAGGAATCAGGCTACACTGGTCACACTGTATGTTTTTGATTCACTAAAAAGACTCATGACAGTTACTTGTGAATAGCATTGTATTTGTGATGAAAAAATAAATGAATAAATAAATTACCCAGCCATAACTATTGTATTAAACGCATGGGAGAGAATGAACATGTTGTACACATGTTGTAAAAAACTTCTCAGTTTAGCTTTTACACAGTACATATACGCTACATGTTTTGTAGTTATCTGACAGCTGTCTAATACACTGCCTGCAGGTTCTCACTCCCTTTTCTCTACAGCCACAATGAAATCAACTGAAATGCAAACAAATCATGTAAATCTGTATTTGACAACCAAATCAAAATTGAGTAACTTACAAGCATACTGAACATTTATGCACTGAACAAGATAGACACACAATAAACACACACACACACACACACACACACACACACACACACACACACACAAAAGCACACCTGTGATAGCGTCATATGCTAAATATTAAATTATTGAAGCAGGTGAAGGCAAGTGATACAGTGTATTCTCAGTGTCTGACAGAAATTTCAGTTTTAACACTCACAGGGCCTTCCTGAGCTGGACATACACTGTAATTATCTACAAAAAACAGACATCCTTTTGCACTACTGTTATGAATACTGACAGAGTTCTGGCTCTTTGGTCCTATCTAAATACACACACACACACACATACACATACACACTGAAGAGACAAAAGCTGTTATTGTGTGTGTCCCGTGACAGGGAGCAATGCCAGCACAGAGGGAAGACCATACACACTCACAATGCCATGGGAACTCCTGTGGACAATATGCTATATGCTGGGGCAAACCGCCCAGAAACAGCAGACAGACTACACATCATTTACAAAGAAAACTGCAATAAAACCATGCCCTTTCACACTGATCTTACATCAACCACTTCTTTCAGAATAGAGGTTAAGTAATAAATCACATCAGGACTCCTGATCACCCTGTTCGGGTTTATTTTGCAATAATGATTTTATGACTGCAGGCACATTATTCCACTTACAGCAGCTACTTAATGAATGAATGAATGAATAAAGGACATGAAATCCTGAAATTATGTTATTATGTGAAAGAAAATTGAATGCAGCGATTGATGAATCCGAATCAAGTTAGAGAGCCATGTAAGAAGTGGATATAAAAAAATCATTCTTAAACTAGCATAGTTAGAGTTAAAACTAAAACTACCACATAAGTGGAAGTGGTTTCATGAAACTAATAAAAACAGAATACAATTATTGTTAATGTGATTATGCTCATAACCACAATTGCAGTAGATGTTTTAAATACACAGGCATAGGGTTTCATCAAATTTCTCACACTCAGATCAAAGTGACAAAACAAAATTTCTCTTTGAATAATTATAATAGTTCAGTTTTAAGAGGGTTGCTCATGTCATGTAAACACCTTAATCCATGTAATTCCTTACTCTGATTCCTGACAATAATCAGAATGTTGGTGTGCATGTAAACATGGCCATTGTTGAATGAAGTTTTTCCAGGGCTGATTTTTTT